ATCCCAGTCTAGCGCAGTACTGATAATGTCATCGTGTGGTTTTCGAAAAATATGGCCGATACATTTCCATTTATGTCGTAAAATATCGATACGACCCGGTACCTGTTTGGAAGCAGTGGCGTAGGAGTTTGCTTCTCGCTGATTATAAGCTCATACCGCCTTTACCCGGCCGTCAGAGCCTCGTTCGTAATGAACAGGGGGTACCGCGTGAAGGTGGGGTTGACGTTTAGGAAGGAGAAGCTATGTTTTCGCATCACCAACTTCATTTGTTGATTTAAACGCAGTTTGAACGGACCAGTCTGTGTCAAATTTGATTTCGAGTGTATATTCTTTATAAGGTCTCCGACGTTTCTTCTACATGTTACAAAATTCGTGGCACCCTTAATATACCCTGTTCAGTATATGCCCTGATAGTACTAATAAATTATTATTTTGGTAAATTGGCGCTTAAGCTAAGCTAAGTTGAGATCTTGATTTTAAGTAGATAAGTTTGGCGATGATGAACTTGGCATAAATCGCTTGATGATTATAGCGCCAATCTAGAAGTGACAACTAGCACACACAGTAGGAAATTCTTATGTAAGTTAATCATAAATACTTACATACATACAACACACGCTTTGCATAATTTGATCAAATTATTTAAATTCATTTGTATATACCTACAAATCGTTATATAGACACACATATTTTACCTCGAATATACATATGTATACTGCTTATGGACCAATGTGCAAATACTCACACGTGCATACTCAAACGTACATATACACACATACATATATAAATATTTTTGTTTTATTCTGCTCTTCAACTATGTAGCATTTATATCTGAACACATAACCTTTTTGTAAACACCCTTCTTAGGCAGCGAATGACGTGCACAAAATGAAATGTTGGATAATTAAAAATAGACGAAATACCAAAGCGACGCAACCTTCCCCTCACTATCAATCAAAACTTGTGCATGCTGAACGTGTGTTTGCATACATTCACGCGAGCATAAATGAGTTTGTTTGTATTTAAGTGTTCTCAAAGGTTGGTTGGTTGATATGCCAGCCCTAAAGCGTTGAAGGTGGATGAAGGTGGGGGGTTTAGTTTGCTAACTACATACTGTGGGTTGAGTAAATAATAGAATAGCATTATATATATATTTATGTATAGAGGAGCTGTGTGTGGGTAAGTATGCTTGTATGCAAATGAGCGCAAGCAAATGAACACATAATAACATTTGTTATATTATTTGTATTACAACATTTGCTCGAATGAAATTTCAGTCTCCTTATATTATGTTCTATAGACTTACATGTACAAGTACATATAAGCATCTAGAAAGTGTATCAGTAAATGTCATAAATAAACTAAAAGCACACTGAGTCGGTCGCATCAGATGAAGGGTGAGTGTGTTCAGACTCAACGCCGAGTGTTGCTGACTGCACGTTTTCTTTCTGTTTTTATTACCGACTTTTTGGGAGGTAACAGCTGTAGCAACAAATCCAGTTCAGTAACAGAATGAGTATGTGGCATTGAGTGCAAAGTTTCGCCGTCAATGTGGTGTTTTTGCACTGCCGCTTTAGCATCACCGCAGTTTTTTGAGGAATAGTATATAAGCGACTACAGAGATGCAATATATGTACGCACATTTATATGAATTTATGTATATTCTTAGATTCAATATTCCATAAAACGGTCCAAGTGCTACTGCCAAATTGGTTATGAGTGAGCGAGATGCTGTAAGTGGTCTGTAAAGCGTCATTAAACGCTCACCTCCTTTTAAATAGGGTGGGAGGCTAACTGTAAATCTTAAAAGCAATTCGTTAATTATATGCACAAAAGTAAATAACGATGTAAACAAGCCAAGTTGACGTAAAAATGTTAGCAAACTTTATAGCTTTCACAGATATAGTGTATGTAACGTATATATATGTATGTATGGTAGGTATATTTTTGATGACATTTTTTTATTAAGTTGCGTTAATAAAAATGTTTAATACATATAAACATATGTACATTTGTATATATCTAGTATATACCATATGAAAGATATCAAATGAAAACTAATGAAACTAGATCGTTTAGATATTAAGGGATGTTCTTGTTCATGTAGTCTACCGAAGGAACTTAATGTTCTTGGATTAGATATTTTGATGATAACAAGTAGACCATTAAAAGCAAATTACCAAACCACATTACCCATCAAGGAAAACTGCACCTCTGATCTCTGAATGGTGGGTTCTCAATGACCATGCCTTCTCTGATTAAAGGTATATTTTATTTTTAACCTGGAGAGAACGGGTCCGGTTAGTTATCCCTATAGGAATTTTTGGAATACGGATTGGAACCTTCATATAGTGAAGGAATATATATATATTATATAATATAGGAAGCCCCGAAAAGGTCTTCTTTGAGAGCGTTCTGCAAACACGTAGTGAGCTGTCATGTATCCTCTAGATTTAGACGTATTCTCGCTAAGAATTATACCCGCTTGGGGTATTTAAGAACTGTGGCTGTTGATATCACGTCGAGTAGTAGAGAGTCGTTAAAGCTATTCCTGGAGGGTTACTTTCCACGAAATCAACTTACAGAAGAGGAACCTTTTGAAGAGCTTCTCAGACCTTCTAGATGAGCGCCGCCACAAATTGGTGCTAAGGTCATTTAACTCTTTCAAGTCACCATGGCCAGAAGGTATCATACCTTTGCAGCTTCAGCTGGCGATTAAGGTGTCAAGCAACTGGTTGAACCCCATCTACACTGCGTAAGATTAGGCCACATTTCGGTGTGGTTGCAGTAAAAGTTTGAGCGTTACTGTTACGGGCTTCAGGCCTATAAGTATCTTCTCGATTATATTGAAAACGTTGCTAGAGGCCGAATTCCAAGAAACAGACTGTCAAAGATTTAGCAGGCCTAAAGCGAAGACCCTGCCTTTCACTTCGTAGTTGGAGAAACCCATTTACATGAAGACGGAGACGAAGCTGGAAATAGAGGCATCTCGCAAAATGGTTTTCTTCACCTTGCTTTGGATCCTGGGAGTCAAGGACCTATTGAAGAAACTTGAGGAACGAGACTGTCGAGTGTTTGCCTACGCGGACGACGTAGTTCTTCTGATAGAAGCTAAATTCCTAGACATCTAACCTAAGGGTACCTAAATTTGGTAACCAAGTGTGCAAATAGAAGTGGTTTAACCATCAATCCTAATAAAACTGAGCTAGTTGTATTAACTAGAAGGTATAAGATCTCAGATGTTTCTCTGTGCTCATTGTTAACCTTTAGTCTTGAACCTGTGGACAAGGTTATCGAGTTGAATTGACACAAAAAAGTGTACGTCAGGGACCCTATAAAAATATATACATACATAAATGATCAGTGTGAGCAACGGAGTTGATTTAGGTTCGTCCTTCTTTCTGTCTGTATATACGCGTACAAGTCCCTCAGTTTTCAAGATATCGCTCTAAAATTTTGCACACATCCTTTTCTCCCCGATACGCAGCTTATTTGTCGGAACCGTCAATATCGGACCACTATAGCATATAGTTGGCATACAAGCTGAACGATCGGAATGAAGTTCTCGTATGGAAAACTTTTTTATTTCACAAGCTATCTTCGCGAAATTTGGTATCGATTTTTATCGTAGGGCATCGCTACAATCTCCGAAGAAATGAATCAGACTGCACCTCTATAGCATATAACTGTCAATAAAAACTGACCGATCAAAATCAAGATAAAGATCTTTTTATACCCTTTGATATTATAAAACAGGAATCTGTGAAGGTTATTAGAGTTTTTTCTTTTTTTTTTTCACGACTTAGGTGTGGTTATGACAAGTTGGTCTGAATATATTACTTTAAAACTCTAAATTATTATTAACTTTATTCTCTTTATTCGTTCAAAAATTACAAATTATTAGTTACTCACATATACTACATGTATATGTGGTATATATGAGTATGTATTTATATCGGTTTCTTTTAATTACAACAAAGCTTTTAGTGACATTTTTATTCGCCAGCACTTTGACACGCTCCTAATTTCAACAGCATGTGCCACATAACGCTGACCGTGGGGCCAGCATTGTGAACCCAAAATACGGTAATAAAAGACTCAACTCAACGCCAACAATAGCAACAGCAGACATAGAATTGTTGTCAGCAGCAGAAACCAGTTCGAACATCCAACATTTACAGCATCAACTGTCGACCAGTTTATGAAACACAATGCAAAGACAACACACTTCCCAGCAGCAACTGCCGCCGCAAGCTCTGCCGAAGTATTTACCACAGTCTCCACTGAGTGCAGAGCGATATATGTAGGTACATATATACACAGAAGTAAATATTATTTATATAGAATCATAAAAAGTGCTTTCGAAATTGCTCAAACCAACTTGAATATCAAATGTGTAATGAATGTGAGCAGCTGCTTGGACGAAGCAACAAATAAATAATGGAACTTATATACTATTATTCACTACACTTATTGAACACTCGTACCAATCTAGTACCCGCCAATAAATATATAGTAAATGCGAGTACGCTTCTACATGCCGTAATGTTTTGTTGAGCAGCAAAAAGAGCGAATCAACACATTGTTACTCAAATGAGACCAACCAAGAGCACGAGCTGCTGAAAAAACGTTAACGGCAAACCAAGGCGACAGTGACAGCTGTCGAACGTTCAGCAGTGCAGTATAACTGGACTGGGCCGGTCGAATGGCTGCGTTGCGGCACGGCAACGATGCGTGTGAATGAGCGAGAGAGGAAGAGAAAGAATATATGATGGCAGTGAGTATATGTGTATACGAAATGAATGAGTGCTGTTGCGAATGAAATAAGGGGATGGGCAGTAAATAGAGTCGCCGTGAACAGCTTGAGTTGAGCAGATATTATACGAGTATATAAGGCGAGAGAGAGAATATAAGGAGGATGAGCGTTCAAAGAAAAAATAAATTCGTTAAAGTCCGGCGCCACAAGGTATTAGCATTGCTCTGTGTATTGCTTTGTGTGAGCAGAAGTCGCTGCCTCTGCGTTTGTATATAGAAGCAAGCGCTGCGGGCTGACTATATAAAAAGTTATATATAAATGAAATTGAGTGTTTTCGAGACGGTTTATGGTTCATGGTTACAGCGAGTCAGAGCGTAGCGCTAGAGCTCATTTCGAGACGGAACGTTAAGTTGTGTGGTAACATTTTATTATTGACGGGAAAATTAGTGTTTCTCGCCTTTACAAAGAAAACATATAGCTTCAAAGAAATTTCAAATGTTCAAATAAAGTAAACAAATTTTGCAACGAAAAAATTAAGAAATATTAGAAACAGAAAAAAATTATTATATTTGCAAACGTTAAAAAATATCAGGTTTATAATAAGGTGGAAATAACAAAAAATTAAAGTAACGCTGACTAAATAAGTGAAGGAGAAGCAGCTACAGGCCAGACAAATGAAGCTGTTCATATGCCGAAGAGTGCACTTTGCATGTATATATATATATTTGTGTGTGTAAGTGGAATACTAATGTCGGTAGTGCTGCAAACGTCGCCGCAGTCAAAAAACGCTTCGGTTGTCGCAAAGTCGCTTTAGCAACGCTGCTATCGTGTTTGAAGAGAACAAATACATGTGCACGCATATACATACATAAATAAGTGTGTAGCGCCTCTCTATAACGCCAGGGTGCTTGTGCGTTGATAATAATTTTTTCGGAGTATTTCAAATACGGTTGTCACGTTTTTCGACGGCAGACTGCCAGCTACCTCTGACGTTTCATTTTACTGAATTGTGCTTATGGTATCTGTGTGTGTACAAATCCAACAACAACAGCAACATAAATTATATGTATGTTTGAGTGAATGTTGTAACGTGCGGGTATAAAAAAAGCAAAGTAAGCGATAAAAGTGTACTTAAAGCAAAGTAGTGGAAAATAAATTGAGGAAGCAGAAAAAAGTGCATTTAGTGCCGATATTATTCAGTGTGTGTGAAGAAAGGAATAGGAAAAAGTGAATAAAACTATTGCAAGCATACAACAAATAATAAAATTCATAGCAGATTAAAATAAAACCTGCAAAAAGTGTTGTAAAAAAACAATTATAGTTAATGAATTAAGAAAAGTGCATAAATCATGATTTTGATTGGTTAAGTTAAAATGGTTAAGTTAAAATGGTTAAAGTTATATACTTAAAACTACAATTTGGATTACAAATGAATATTGTCTTCTCCAATTTGGATAAATAACATACACACATATATGGATAACGCAATATACGCAATCAGCCTGATAACGTATTATCTAAATTTGTCTGTATTCATTACGAACAGATTAGCGCTCTACTAGCTGCATTGGTACTCCGTTACAATTAGCGCACACGTTCATCGTGTTCATTAAAGGTAAAAATATTTTGTTTAAATTTTGAAATATGAAACTTGTGCATGATCAGCCACAAAACCCACCACCACCTTTGCCAGCTCCTTTTACGCCTATGTTAGCCTTCCAACTTGCCATTAACTAACAAACAATTTTCTGATTCCTTTTTGCTTTTGAAATTTATTTATCAACATCTTCATATTTCAGTTTTCGTTTCATTCAATACATTCATGCAAACTATATGTAGACCTTTACAAATATATGTATGTATAAGCCTACTTGCATTTACCACACCACTATAGGCTTATATACTCGTACAATTATATATATAAGCATGAATATCTACATAAATACTATTGTGTGAGTATATGCTGTCCAACTTCAATCTCTTTAATGTGTATTTTTATCGTGGCATTCTGCCTTTGCACTTCGTTCGGTTTGCTTTACTTCATTTCATTTCGCCTCTGTTACGGCTTTCCGAGTACTACTTTCCTACCCTCAGTCGGTCCGACTCTTCCACAGCCAGGCGGCATATCACATGCAATAACAACCAGAAACGACTGGCACTTCGAGACCACGACAACATTAGTATAACGAACGTACAGAAGTAACAGCACAGCAAATAACAGCTATGCTGTAGTGACAACGAAAGCACCGACGCAGGCAGATTTGACATAAAAACCAACAACAGCAGCTCTGGTTCGAAGTCATAGGCAGAAAGCAGCTTGCGTTTTTCTCTTCGTCTACTGCATATGTATACTATAAATCGGTATATCCGTGTATATCGCTTCATTTACGTATATACGTAGATGTGTATGTGTATCTATATAGATATAATGCACGCAGCTGAAGAGCATTAACAGAGCCGGCGCTCGAACACATTTAGTTGCACAGTGCATATAAAGCGAAACCAATTGCTCATAATACAGTTGGGCGATTGATTAATTTATTGAAAAAGCGATTTTCAATTAGAAAATTAGCATATTATGCTTAATAAATATCAATTCAAATAAAAATATTCAAAAATTATTTTAAACCGTTATCTGAATCTTGAAATACCAGACAGGGCATATTTAAAATAAATATAAACAATGCGTAGTCTTCATTATATACATGAGAAAACTGTTGTCGGGACGTACACATGTGTCTTATTTCAAAAGGATTAACACAGTGACTTATGTATGTATATTATAAATTAATAAATTCGGAAACATTCCCAGATAATAAGTTTCATTACAATATTTTTAACTTATTATTCTTGATTCTAATTACAAATAGTCCTAGCTTTAGCACTTCGTGAGCAGGCTAGCAAAGAATGCAATAAAAAGACAATTGAATTAATATTAAAATAAATTTTTTTTATTGTCACCCCCAAAAATCTTTAAAACAAAAGTAATTTTCACATTTCTAAACCCAAATACCGATTTGAAAAACTGCGAATAATTTTTTAATCCCAAAAATTGAGCTTAAAATAAAAAATAAAAATTGTTATCCTAAATACCGAATTAAACAAAAAACAAAATAAAAAATAAAAAAAATTTATGTTTTGAACTTTAGATTATTTCACACTTGCGTACTTCGTGTGCTACCATTTTGGTCATCTTTTGATATAGTTGTTCAGTTAGAAATATGTAAATCTTTTACTTTTTATTTCTATTTCATTCCAGCTTTTGATATGAAAAATAATATTTGTGTTTTTGGTTACTTCAGATTTTAAATTAAAAAAATATTTTATCAATTTTTAATTTTGAATTTAAGAATAAAATTTACAATTCTCAATTCCGCTTTTGGGAGTAAAAATTAAAGTTTTTAGGGTCTAATTTTTAATTTTTATGAGATTAATAAAAAATCAATTTTAAAATTTCTAGATCATAAGATTCAATATCTGATTCGATGTAAAAACTAAAATCTTAAGCTCAACATTTACTCTGTACCGGTTTATTGTCGTGAACGAAAAAAAAGAATGTTTAAAAACCATTACATGGTTAGGTTTAAATTTTTTTTAAAAATTTCAACAGTCGAACTCTATCTATAAATCACTCAGAATTCCATTCAGAAGCTTGAATATCTCTGAGCCATTTTATTATATATTTCAAAAATACGACTTACATTTTCTTAAGCTATCATCGATGTTTTCTTAACATTTATCGTTGGTGCGAGTTGTGCAAACTGACACACTGTGCAGGTTATCCAAATATGCTCTTCCTTGCTGACTCCTTTGTTCGTTTATTCGCCTGTGCCAGCCATACTTGGCTTCTGCATGCGGGCTTTGCGTTCCTACGCACATACACACATGTATATTATCTATGTATGGGCATATCTATGTAATTATGCATAGATATTTACAATACATAAAGTCATATACGTATATATATTTTTTGTAAGCATGCTTGTATGTATGTTTGTGGCTTTGTTTACATGCTACGTTTGAACATTTGCTTTTGCATCTGTTTATGTGCGTCTGTTTGCATGCTTCTTTACCATTGTTGTTGTTGTTGTTAATGTTATAGGAACCTTTTCTGTCGACCGCTTTTGCGAATTCTCTTTTGTTTATCACATTCTGCACAGTGCCTTTGTGTCTGGTTCGTTGTTGTTGATCATCTGTCGACGAGACGGGGAAGTTTGCTTGTTTGTCATACATTGGAACTGTGAGCTCACATTTCACATTTCCATCCAGTTTTACCTACATAAGTAGATCCTGTGTAGATCGCATTATTCGTACTGCGACACGAAATTCCTTGAAGAGTCCTTGTAGGCTGCGATGATGACAGTTCATTTTTCAATGACTTGCTGTTCATTAACTGTCTCATGAAAGTCGATCAAAGACCGCTCACATATTCACACACATAGTTGTTAATTCCTTTAGTAAGTACATAAATATACATACATATGTTTGTTTGTATTTATGTATGCATATGATATGCCAACGCAGAGCATCTTTATATCTCATTGCCATTTATGTGCATCCAGTGTATGAATTTATATAATATTGTATATTAACAAGTTTACTTATGCTGCATGTATAATGTAATTGCGTATGTATGACTCTATGCTTCAGCTTTTCAACCCCCTCTCCAACATAATAGCGTGTTCATTTAGATAGGTATGTTGCTCATTGCTTTACACCTCACTGCCTCGTCAGATATTCATCCATTCACAGCAGACGGCCTTCTCTCTTCCAATGAACTCCAGCTGTAGCAACACAACATCTACTTGAAACCCAAATAAATAGAGAATTGACGCAGCAGTAGCAGTAGTAAATGCGATAGCACACACACACATATATATATAGCATTACACGCGCATATAAAGTTAGTAAATACGAGATACTGCCGGCGGCTAACTTTAACTCTTCACACTCCCCTTCATCGATGCGGCATAATCACAATGTTCCATTTCGTTACGTGGCTTCACTGTAGTTTCAGCACAACCGAACTGCCTGTTTCGCCTTTGACCGACCTTCTCGACGTCTCCAGTGTGCAGCTTACCGTAGCTTTTCCAATTTTTATATTATTTCAGGGCGGCAGCGGCACTGACAGCGGCAACGGCAGCGGCAACGGCAGCGATCCGACCTCAACTGTGCATGTTTTCAAATTGCCTTATCGTTCGGTACTGGGTTGCCACCGCTACTGTTGAGCTACTGATTACAGACTGGTTGGTATGTTGGTGCTGGTGCTTGTACTTACAGTACCTATGTATAAGTACTGATATGTGTATGTACATATGTATGTATGTACTGTTTATGTACGTAAATAGTATCAAGTAAAACAGATTTTGGGTAATTTTTCGTACAGGGGTTGTCGAGTCTTTAATTTCGTGTGCGCTCAAAGGGCAAACCCGTATTTTGGCGTGGGCCAACCGGCCAGGAGCCATTACATTGAGCTTCGGGCTCAAACTTCTTTGTACATGTACTACCTATTTGTATATTTTGTCTGCTTCGCATGCTTTCACTTGAAAGTTGTTTAGCTAGTGTACGAATTTTTGTCCCTTCACTAATATTGCCTGTCAGTCATTGACATTTTTTTTTCTACTTCGTTTGGCCTCAAGCTGCTCGCAATAAACTTTTCACCTTTTTCTTTTCCTGTCAGTTTATATTTAGTTTCGTTATATATTTTATTTTATTTTGCCAATTCTTCCTGACTTCCTACTTTTTTTTTTAATCTAAGTTAAAGGGCAGAACTTTTCTTCCGGACATATGATGGGTGTTTTTTTACTGCTTCTTCCCAAAATGTATCAGTTTACTTTCATACACATTAGGGTGAGTTTAAAAAAAAATAATATCATATTTTTAGGTTAAAAAGACGCTGCATACTTTCGGTTTTCAAAGTACTTAATAACTGGGAATTTTTGAATTAGAATATAATACACCTGATCTCACTGCTCTACAAGATTCTGCGATGTAAAAAATGTTATCCTAAATCGTTTAAAAGTTAAGACATTTTTAACGAAACCAGATTTTTTACGTGTTATTTAAATGAATGCCCCCGATACATTTTAAAACTAAGTTAAAAATCCAATTTAGAAACATTAGTTTTTTATTTGTTTTGGTTCACCCTAACACATAATTATATAAGTATTCATGTCTACATATATACACATTCTTTAAATTATTTTTACTACATATTTAACCAGCATACACATATATATGTATGTCTGTCGTTCTAGATCTTTAAGAAGTTAAACTGAAGACCGTCATTGAACTTCTTTTTCAATTATCCTTGGCGCACATTTTCCTCAATTCACTATCTACTTGTGCGTGCAATCGTTGTTTATCTTTAGTTATTGTGTTCACGAAAAATAAACACAGAATTTATTAAAGTTTTCTTCGGAAAATAACTTATTTTTCTGTTTCGCTTTGATTATTACTTCCTCTAAGAGCCCAGTATTAGGAGCCCAGTTTTCTCTTTAATTCATATGGATTTGTATAGAGTATGAACGTATGACCACTAAATAAAATTTAAAGTCAAAGGTTTCTAGTGGCCTATTTGAAATGCGAATTAGTAAATTTTGGTTTTTTGTTTGTTTTTTCGGCTTCGGCTCATTTTCGAAGCGGGACAGTCTCAACATCATATTCATAAACCCATTTTTAATTTTTGTAACAGATTCAGGTCTAGCATTGGCAGGCTTCGTACCCAAAACATTAACCAAAATGTATTTATTCGATTCATAAGAGATGTTGAGATCCTTTGCAATCTCTCTAATGCCAACACCATGGTTTCAAGCACTGTTTCTTTAACTAGCTATGGTCATTAACAGAGATGGCTGGACGACTAGCATGAGTCAAGTTTTCGATGACTTCACGACTTTCAGTGAATGCTTTGTGCCATTCCAATACTTGTTTTCGTGATAAATTGGACTCCCCAAAACACTGCTGCCGATCTAGGAAATGGTATTTATCGATTCGGTTCGACACAAATACATAAGTGTGAGGCTAATATGCTACTATCTAGGCTTTTGCTTAGGTTTCCACCAGTACAAAACTCTAACCAAATTCAGGTGGAATTTTTGAATCGAATATATTTCTTGCTATCGCGTTTATTTTCTAATTTTTCCCCAAGTATACTTTTAAATTCTCATGTATAGTGCTTTAAATCTGATCCTTTACTTTTTAATGTCTTCCTTATTCGAACAATCGCAAAGGGCAGCTACTCTGGGTTCAAATATTACGTACATACATATATCAGCTATATGCATGCATACATATATACTTACAAATATACTACGTAGTATGATTACATACATACATTTTTACATTCATATAGTCAGTGTATCTAACAAAACATTTCATTTCACTTTAATTATATTCTCCTAATCCGGCTTCCCCGTGGAGCACATAAATTCCAATTTTTCATTCGCTTTTTTAAACAACAATTTTTCGTTTTTCGCTTTCCAGATTTTTGTTACGTTCTTTTGTGGGTGACAGAAAGCAACAATGTCACCAGTGCCAGGAGCCACATCAGTTGTGGGCACTGCTCTCGCACCACCATCTGCATCGCCAGCATCCACATTTGTTACAACAACAACTACAACCAGCGCGGCCATCACTTCGACCTCGCCTAGCCGCGTTCCAATGGTGTCCTCGCAACAGCAACAACAACAAGGTGCACCTTCGCAGCAATGCCACACTGCTACTGGTGGCAATACAGACAACAAGAATAAGCAGCACTTTAATAACAACAACAACATAAAGAACAATAACTGTAATAACAACATAGTTGAGCAAAATCACAACAAAAACAAAACCAACAAGTTAACCATGCAACACAATGGTGGCATGAATTCGGCGAGCATGGAAAGTGTGCGCCAAATGAAGCATCATCAACTGCAGCAGCAGAAACAACAACAACAACAACAGCAGCAGCAGCAGCAAACGAACAAAAATACCAACAGTGACACCAAGGCTAAAAGCAATGACATGCAAAAACACACAAATACAAATACAACGACAAAATTGTCCTTCACCCATGCCACCAGCACAACGAATGCTACCGTTAATGGCGCAACTGCCAAAAGCGTGAACAACGCGCAATTCTCCTCGCCTGTTGGCAATGTTGTTGGCACGTCGTTACCGTCACCGTCACCATTGCCGTCGCCGTCGCTGTCCGCGTTGTCGCCTGCGCAAACTAATTGCAGCACTAAATCACCGACGACAAAGACGACTACAATGCCACAGCCGACATCCTCCGCCACCGCCACAGCAGCCTCGTCCCCATCATCAACTACGAATCCGTTGGCCTTGTCGGCCATCACAAGTAATGATGCCACTTCAACACCAGAAGCAGCTCCAGCAGTAGCATCAGCTGAAGTGGCAGCTGCAACAAGCACAATAAATGCGAAGACAATAATAAAATCGGCTATTAATCAAAATGGTGTGGAAATAAAGGAGGAATGCGATCCACAACAAGTGATCGTCAAGGTGGAGGAAACAACACCGAACACAACAACAATTGCGAAAATCACTACAACTACTGTTAATCAAGTACCAACGCCCCCTACCCTGACAACAAATCAAAAGGACACTGCGTCTGCGGCGCCGGCGGAAGCCAAAAAGAAAAAATCTGATCCACTCGTTACCGCCGACGATGCGTCTGCGGATAATCTGATTGTGGATAAGCCGCGTAAAGTACTGCTGAGCGTCATGAATCCGCATATAATTTGTCACTTGTGTAATGGTTATCTCATCGATGCCACAACCATTGTCGAGTGTTTGCATTCGTGTAAGTATCCAACCCAAATTAATGAAGATTTATGCAGAACATATGTGTATGCACACATACATAGCTTAGGTTCGTAGTAGAAAAGAATATTAGATGCCGGTTTCCCCATAAACTCTAGCAAGTAATTGAGTTTTGACTTTTTTTTTTTATATATACACGAGTTCGTCCCTCAGTTTTTGAGATATCGATTTCGCACACGACTCTTTCTCCGCAAGAGGATGCTCTTTTGTCGAAACCGCCTATATCGGGCCACTATATGATACAGCTGTCATACTAACTGAACTATTAAAATCATATCCGTGTAAATCCGATTAAAATCAAAATAAAGATGTTTTTATACCCTTTTAGGGTATGAAGGGTATTATTGCTTCGGTTTAGCTAAAGTTAAGTTTTTATACTCTTGCAACATGTTGCTTCAGAGTATAATAGTTTTGTTCACCTAACGATTGTTTGTATCACCTAAAACTAATTGAGTTAGATATAGGGTTATATATATATATATATATATATATAGATATATGATCAGGATGAAGAGAGAGAAGTTGAAAACCGGGTGACTGTCTGTCTGTCCGTCTGTGCAAGCTGTAACTTGAGTAAAAATTGAGATATCTTTATAAAACTTGGTACACGTATTTCTTGGTACCGCCTGCCACGCCCACCAAACGCCATTAATCAAAAACAAATAAATTGCCATAACAGTAATGAGTAGAGGCATCTGCAGTTTAAATTTTTTTTATAAAGAAGGCGTGGTCCCGCCCCTACTAGGATTAATGTGACTACCTCCTAAACCGCTAAAACTATAATAATGAAATTCACTGAGAACAAATGTTTTTAGCACCTCTATCGACAGTGTAAAAATGGGTGAAACCAGGTGACAACTACTAAAAGCGCGATAAATCAAGCACTAAACACGCCAGAGACATTAAATTTTGTCTGTAGGATGGTATAAGATGAATTTATAGGAACCGCGTTCAAAATTAGACAGTAGGCATGGCACCGTCCACTTTTAGGTGAAAACCCATATCTTTAGATCTGCTTAACCAATTTCAACCAAATTGTGACCAAAAATTGTCGAAATCGAACCTAAACTGTTCAAGCCCGCAGGTACTGAATATGTGGACCCCAGTGCCTATAGTTGAATTTTTACCGAAAATATCGGTCAATCCACAAATAACTCTCAAACGAGTGAACCATTTGACTTTGCGAGAGTATAAAATGTTCGGTTATACCGAACTTAGCCCTTTCTTACTTGTTTTTTTTTTTTTTTACATTATTTTATATGGAACGACTAAAATGAATAACATACATATGTTTATTGATAATTTTGTTGTTCAAGGTAGGGGATATAATTAAATAAAAAGTAATATCTGCATACGCTTATATACTTACATACATATGTACAATATATGTTGATGTGGTTTATATTTTATTATTTAATTTAATTTTTTTCTTCATTACAGTCTGCCACAGTTGCCTAATCAAACATTTGCGGACTGAACAGTACTGCCCACGCTGTGAAATGATGATAAACACGGCGAAGCCAAATATAAAGTGAGTACAACATATATTTACATATTTACTTCCCTGTGCATCCCCAGCTAATAAGTCTTACTGTTCTCCTGTGGAACTCGGGATACCTTAAATAATTTCGAATTGAAAAAGATATGATTAAAATCATAATGAATACAAGGTGCGTTCCAAAGTAAACAGTAAAAAAGTAACAAAATAAACTCTAGTGGCGCCATCTATATGCCGACTAGTGCGTTAGAATCTGCTATCCTTTATCGACTTCCAGTAAAAATTTCATGACATTTCATCTATTGGAAGTGAAGTTATTGCGTTTTAAGTGCAGGAAGTTTTTGTCATCGGTGCGGTGATTGACTGACCACCAAAAATTGCTCAGAATTGAACATTCGAATGACATTATTAAAGAGCCAAAAAAATACCCGAACTTCCTTTACAAGATTGTGACTGGTGACGAAACGTGGTGTTTTCAATATGATCCCGAAACGAAACGCCAGAGTGCTGAATGGAAGGCTCCGGACTAGCCGAAACCCAAAAAATCGCGCCTGAAGAAGTCGAAAAGTGAAGACAATGCTGATTTGTTTTTATGATTCCAAGGGTATTGTCCACAAAGAATTTGTTCCACCCGGCCAAAACGTTAATGCGGTATTCTATCTTGGAGTTTTGAATCGTTTGGTACGCTGTATTCGACGTGTTCGGCCCGAATATCGCGAAGATGGAAGTTGGCCTTTGTTGCACGATAATGCGCCGTCTCATCGATCGACGCTTGTGGCCGATTATTTGACCAAAAATCACATTTTAACAATCAACCCCTCCCCGTATTCACCTGATGTGGCACCGTGCGACTTCTACCTTTTCGGAAAAATGCATTTGCAGATGAAAGGAAAGCGTTATGCAGACGTGGCGGCCATTCAAAGACTTGCACCGGCATACTGACGACCATACCGGGCAACGAGCTAAAGACTCGTTCGACATGCTTTTGGACCGTGCAAAAAGCTGTATTAAAGCAGAAGGAGACTATTTTGAATAAAATTAATTGATTTTGCCGATAAAACCATTTGTTCTGTATTTTTTTTAAGTCCTGTTTACTTTGGAACGCACCTTATATGGTTCTCAACCAAGATTGCCTCCCGACTGTTGAAATTATTAACATCTATGTCTGTAATAGAATTGACAAAAAATAATCCTTACCACAAATAAAATACAAAATAAGAAGCAGAATAGAGCTTGCGAAGATGCGATTGTCGTCAAAAAAGTATATTTAATATTTAGTAATAAGTATATTTGAACAGGGTATATTAAATTTGCCACGAAGTTTGTAATACGTCGGAGGCCTTATAAAATATATACATAAATGATGAGCTGAGTTAAATACAATCTACTTCTTCTTCTTCTTATTAATCCTGCCAATTACTTCATTTCAAAGTATTTTTCTCATTACTTTTTCGTTCTTGATCAGCGTCTTGGCTGTCCGACAGTAGATAAAACGCACACCTCATTCATCTTCACAGAAAATATTTTATTCGGAATCTACTTGCACAAAATCACCCTCCTTTGAGCGCAGAAATCACGACTTCGCATTGCATTACATCCCTTCGACGGCGGCTGTTGCGGGACAAGCTCGTTCTTTGTCGATATGATCTGATTAACGGCATCTAGAGCCACGTAAAGTGGCATGTGTGCTTGTGGCCGATAGCCGTATTCGAAACATACATACTTGTATATGTATGTGCGTCTCTATGTGTAAAAGCACGGCTTCCGAGTGCTACAAAAGGGGCGAATTTGCAGTCAGAATTCACTGCCAGAGGTAAAAAAAATACATTTTGGTAAAAGAATGTGTGTATGTATGTACATACATAGAAATAGCAGCGACAAAAAATGGCATATGCAATCTGCGCAAAGGCAACGCTTCACCAGAGGGGGAATATAAAACCCGCTTTCCCGAAACATAATCAAAATGCCAATTAAGTGAATTTAAGTCATACCGTGTGTTATTTTTCTTCTTTCTTTCGACTACATGCCCTTACTATTTTTTGAGAATCTCGACATTTAGCCTTTGTTGTCATCTTCTAACCCGCTTTCGAACATCTCACGTTATTTGGCCGTTGCATTGGTACCGCATGCAGTGCCGTAAACACTTACAATTAACTGGCGGGCGGGGTTTCGCTTCGATTTGCCGACGGCATGCATTTCCATATATGTAAATATGTAGGTGCATATGTGTGTAGTATGCGTTGGGGCTGACACATTGTGACTTTTGCGATGCGAGCACAGCTGTTAGCGACTCATATAAACCAGTGAAGTGGGCTGCATAGTTAGTTATGTGTCAATTCCACATTGTACCGTTCGTTTCCAAATATTCCATTCTCTGGCGCGCATTTTGAGGAATCCCATTTCGTTCTCAGGCAGACAACAAACCGAAAAGCGAAGCAAAAAAGCAGCATAAATCTGTAGCAAAACAAAGAAAAGTAGCTATTCAAATGCACGATAAACGAGTGGAATGGAATGATGATTTGACGAAGGACCAAACAAAACGTAGTGTCGAAAAAGGTACACATATGTGAACAAAAAAAAATTTAAAGAGAAAAAATGCTCTAGTGTTTGTATGTTTGTTATGAAAATGTGCTCTCGCGTTTTTTAATACGCTCAGCGCCGCTAGTTTGGTTATCGCTTGCTCATTTTGGCTCGGGTGTTGCGGGTCGGAGTGCAGTTAGTCATTGTTTATTGTTTTATTTACATTTCTTGATTTTATTTCATTGAATTTCATTTTTTTCCTTTTACCACTGCTTTCGTTATCATTGTGACGTTTGTTGTTATTGTTGCTGTGCTGCTATATCGAATGTGCGCGGAATCCGAAATGCAGTGTAGTGTTCTGTCGTCATTGTTGTCGAGATTCCCGCAGCGACGTTGGGCAACAGGCACAAACGTTGCGCACATTTTCAAGCTGATAAAGTCACCCGCCACGTACGTCGCTCCTGCCATCAGCATCAACATTTCCATCAGCTACGACACCATTAGTGTAATGTGTTGTTGATGTTGTTGTTGTTGTTGTTGAATTTGCCTCACCATTGATGATGTTGTCGTCAGCAAAAGTCTTTGGTATCTTTCTGTGTCTATTTCTACATACATTTGTATTTATGTACATATCTACATATATATGTTTGTATGTATTCATGAATATGTACATTTTGTGTGCACAGCATTTATTTGTTTGCGCTTTGCATTAGCCAAATGCTTCGGTACTCAAATGAAACATTGCTGAAATATTTGTGATTAGGAAGGGCGAAGCACAGTCATACACGCATACAAACCGACGTACTAACGTATAGTTATGTATGTATATACATATGTATGTTTGTATGTGCGAGCATGCATGTAACAGCATTGACGTTGGTTTCGTAGGTTCGTTCGCCTTGTAGAAGATGAAAACTTTTTCACACCACATTAGATTTGAATACACATGTGCATGCATATGTGCATATGTATGTATGTACATACATACATACATGTATTATCACCCTGGTCACAAAGCACCTTAAACCCCACCATTGCAGTCAGTGTGCTTTGAAAGGGGCCAAATCGAAGCTATTAAATGCGATTTTTTCTAACTTTATGGTGGTTTTGGTGGATTTTCAGGGCATTGACTTTCGAGAATTATACGACCTTTGAGCAGATTACGTCTTTAGTATACAGATCTGTTCGGGACAAATTAATCAATTTATATGTAATGTTAAAAAAATTAAATCCGTAGGTATTACGTAAACATGATGTAAAAACGAGTAAAAACGTTAACTTCGGCGGCACCGAAGCTATTATACCCTTCACAAATAAAAAAGTTTCTATACAAAAATTTGATTTTGAGCAGTTAATATGCATGATAGCTACATACATACATATGTACATATGTATATGCTACAGTGGCGCCATTAGAACATTTTCTTCGGAGATTATCTATAGTTTTGCCTTGGACAATAATCTGTGTCAAATTTGTTGAGTATAATTTGTTAAATAATAAAGTTTTACATACATACATACATATGTACAAGGACTTGAGCTGGATCGATCAGCTTGTATGGCAGTTATAAACTATAGTGATCCGATATCGACGGTTTCAACAAATGAGCACCTTTTTGGGAAGAAAAAGACGTGTGCGAAATTTCAGATCGATATCTCAAAAACTTATGGACTAATTCGTACATATAGACAGACAGACAGACATAGCTAAGTCCACTCAGCTTGTTACGCTAATCACTTAGATTGTATGTACATGCTTTATAAGGTTTCTGAAGTTTCCTTTTGGGTGTCACAAACTTCGTTGCAAACTTAATATATACTGTTCAGGGTATAATTAAGTAAAGCATGTTATAAAAGAAATATTATGTTTGCATTTAATTAACAGTATCATAAAGGAAGTTAAAAATATTAACTATTGTATTTATTTATTGTATGAAAACTAAATATAAAAAAAACCAACTAATTTTTTTCATTCTTATCTTGATGCGACGATTTTTTAAAAAAATTTGCATATACTTTGTACATACATATACATATGTATATTAAAAGTTTTAACCAAAACATTTTTCCCATTATTTATTTTCAGGCCCGACACAACGTTGCAAGCCATCGTCTATAAACTTGTACCGGGACTCTATGAACGAGAACTGATGCGCAAACGCGCCTTTTACAAGGATCGGCCGACCGAAGCCGCTATGGCTACACCTGAGCAACGTGGCGAAGACACCGAACACCTTATCTTCAGTCCCTCGGACTGTATGTCCTTGTCGTTGGAGTTCGCGGACACAGAGTAAGTAACAATTTATTTAATGTTATTGCAAACAACAAACATACTTATGAAATATGTAAAAACTATAGAGTAATAAATATACGAAGTACAATAGCACTTTATTTGCACATTAAAATTAGTTTCTATAACCCAATTTATCAACGCACATTGCTACAACTCTGGTCCTTTCCATCTTTTCTTTTGCATCTCTTGTAGTGAACTTGTGCGTCGGAATAGCGATTACGGTGAATTGTTGAAGCCACGTTACCTGCAATGTCCCGCAATGTGCACTGTTGGACACTTGAAGAAGTTCGTACATGGGAAATTCGATATCGATACGCAGCGTTTCAACATTGACATAATGTACAAGGTGAAGACGATAGTGCTGCTCGATCACTACACGCTCATGGATGTTGCTTACATTTACACATGGAAACGTGATGCGCCAATGCGTTTCTATTTTCGTGTAAAACGATCTTTACGTCCAATTGTCAAGGCACGTAAACCAGCAGCCATAATGCCTGTAGCAATACCAGTACCGTTAGAAATTAAGGATGAGGTTGTAGATGCCGCAACAGCATTGAAGCCACCGAAAATTCCCGGTAACGAAATTACACAAACCATTTCACCCGTACCAGATGCCATGATAACAATTCCGAAACCAGTTGCATCGGCCTTAACAACTAACGAGCAACTGATTATGACGCCGGAACATATTAAAGAAGAGAAAGTTGAAGAAGCTGAAGAATCGAAAGCTAAACCGAGTGTTGAAGCAGTCGTGAAACCGGCAAAGCCAGCCAAAGTTTCAAAAGCTTCCGCCGTCAGCTCAAGTACAGAAAGCAAACGCTCACACTCCAACTCTTCGGCTGAGCGTAAAGCCGAGAAAGCGCTAAATGCGCATAACTCACCGAAGTCGTCCAAAGAGAAACGGGATGCTAAGGAGGCTTTAAAGCAAGCCGCCGAACAACCACGTGATGAACGTAAAGTCGAAAATATTAAGTTAAAAATTGATTTATCGAAGCATAATAGTGTGACAATTATAAATATGTCCGATCCGCAACGTCGTGAGATTACTAAGTCTGTGCGCCCTGAAAAGGAGTGGAAACAGAAAAATAAACGCGATAAAGAGTCCAGTCCCAAGAATTCACAGCACAGTGAACGCAAAACTAAGACACCCAGTCCGCTAACGGTACCGCCACTAACTATAAAAGCCGAACAAATTAGTCCACAGACAAAAATAAGTCCATTAGCGAAAAGTGCACCGAAACCAACTGAAAAGTCGCCTGTATCTGCCTCATCCATTGAGGAGGAACAAAAGTCACAGTTCCTCAAGTCATTTTCGTTGACGCCGATCAAAGCTGTCAAAAACGAAGCACATGAAAAATCTCCGAAATCCCCAAAAAGCATTAGCTCTTCGGCGTTTACCCATAAGGTGGTTGTTAAGTCACCAACCAGTGGAGCGCGCGATTCGCTAAAGACGACAATCAGCACCGTTTTTAAGGGACCCACCGTACCGTCTAAGCGCAAAATTAAGGAACCTGTTAAGAATGTGGCCAAGAAGCCGAAATTGTCGCCGCCACTACCGGCTGAAGATTTCAAAATTAAATTGCCGCCAAGTCCGATTGCAAACACAGCCAAACCGAATTCATCTCCTATCACTAAGCCGACTACTCCAGCGAATGAAAAACCCCTTATGCCACCGCCACCAAGAAGCACCAACAGCACTCCGTCTACCACAAGTTATGCAGCTGTCACCATAGCAACAACAACAACTAATTCAAAAACTAGCCAAGTCAGTTCAACAACGGGCAGCCAAGCAATTATGCGACCACCAATTGGTCTGCCGCCGAAAAAAGTTTCTGGAAAAATTAGTGTTTCCGCAGCGCATAAAATTAATTCTCTACCTCTACCACAGTCTGTGGCCCGCATTGAGATGGCTGCGCCTGGTAATCGCACACCAATTGCGAAACGTTACCAACCTATTCTGCCGAAGTCGACGCGTCCTAATCCGTTCGCTAACATACCAAGTGACGTCAATAAGTTGCTAAAGGACGCCGGTACTGAAATTAAATCAATCGCCAGTAATACAAAATCATCCGGGAAAGTGTACGGCCCAAAGACCACCACAAGTGGCACAACTATCACCGCCGATAATAGTCTGATGGGACCACCACCTGCGCCAATAACCAAACCACAGTCTCAGAGTGTGAATCAGCAGCGTCATGGTATTGCGAGCAGTGCCAATAAATTGGGCGCAAAGAATGGCAAAACCAGTAATTCGAATAATTATCTGAACCTGGCGCTTTTTAATGCTTCAAAATCAAAAGGGAATGAGGCTCCGCCCGGTTGTCGTACCCCTATGTACACGCCAAGCTCGCCAATATACTCTCCCAGCTCTCCGCAGTATATGCCGAACTATAACATACCCACAGTACCAACTTACAAGTATACACCGCGTCCATCTGGCGGCAGTGGTAGTTTCTTGCAAAGTATATTAGGTGGTGCGAACAATCAAATGGCCGGACTTTTTCCAGCGCCACCCACTATGAAAGATAATACCAACACTGGCACCACAAACGGTAATAGCTCGCCCTCTCACAATGTTAATTACAAACCAATGGATATTGGCAGCGGTCTACAAGGGACACCCAAACGAGTGTATCCATTCGCGCGCAGTCCCAGTCCAGAAGATCCACCAGAGAAGCAATTGAAAGTGAAATCGTTACTCACTTCCTGTAACATAAACATTCCCTCATCGCTCTCGATTACCATCACACGGGAAGATAGCGAGTCGCAGACAAATAATGCTTCGCATCCAAAACATAAGAGCCCTGTGAATAACTACATTGAGATCCTAAAGTTGCCCGATCAATCCAGTGAGACTTTGGAACAGAGCAAACGTGCTTCGCCACCGGCGCAGAAGTTACCAGCAACTCCGCACGCCTCGTCGCTAAAGTTGCTTATGCCACCGTCGACGAATGCAAATACCACAAGCTCCCCTGGGAAACGTGACAACTCAGAAGGAAAATCTACAAACTATGGCAACACAACTTTATCGCAAATTACACAAAAATCGCAAAGCAATGCGTCAAAATCATCATACAACAACAACACATCGAATAACGCGAATAAAACACAAGCTGCCACCCAGAATTCCACAGCAAAGTCAGCACAATCGAATTCTGCCCCAAGTCAGATGAACCAAAAACACGCAAGTGACAACAACCATCAAAAGTCCAATATGAAGGTGATGGAGCCTCTGAAGTCACCACAAGCGGAGCAACAAAAATCGGGCGCAGAGAAGAAATCGCCCGTGCACAGCCCCGAGAAAAACAACGCGTCACCAAATGGCAAGAATCCACACAAGTCGCCAAACAGCTCCACCGCTGTCGATGCGAGCAAAAAGTTCCGCCCAATTTTGCCGCGACAAAATCCTGCATCTGCCATACCTGAAATTGTACCGCCGAAGGTAACGACTGGTAACATTATAGGCACTTATTCGGCGCCAAGCGGTGTAGCGGTGAAAGTTCATGCTGCTAAGAAGGTATCGCCGCCTAAAAAATCACCAGGTGCACAACAGCAACAACAACAGCCACAACCGCAAGCGGCACATCAACAGCCTAAAAACGGACAATCTCCAAACGCGTTAAGCGCCGCAAAACCCAACATACCACAGTCCAACAAATCCCCTGCACCTGCTCACCAGTCGTCAGCTAAGTTGTCAACAAACGCCAAGTCTGATACGACGCCAGCAACTATGGCGTCGCCGAACGCCAGCACCAACGCTAACAAGCTCGTACATTCACCACACCCCAGCATGCCCCCAGCCATGCCAACATTGCCAAGTCTACCAGCCATGCCCAATATGCCGCCCACTGCGCTTCAAGTTGCCGCCATGGCCGCTAGCTTACCCGGCATGCCTACGCACTTGGGCGGCGTCTCCGCTGCCGACTTCAGCAAACTTTTCAAGGATAATCTGTTGCGCGCACAGGTGCAAGCGGCTGCGGCCGCCGCACAGCCCGGTGGCATGTTCTATCCATACGCAAACGCGCAACAATTGAGTCATCACTACAGCTATCAGCAGGCCTTCATGCTGGAGCAATTCACGCGCATGCAGCGCGCCGAGGCATTGAGCGAGTTTATGCAAAAGTTTAAAAACAATCCAGCCGATAAGCTGTTAGATAATAGTGCTGGTAGCGTAGGCGGCAGCAAAGCGCTGGCTGTACCAGGTCCGAAAGCGTCACCCGTTGCGTCAACTAGCAGCAGCGCAACCACCAAGTCCAACGCGGGCAACACCAACACTACGACTACCGTTGTCAACAGCAACAGCAACAACAGCAGCAACGGTGGCGCAAACGTGGCGAAGGCCAAATGAAAATGAGTGTGCGGAAGGAGGTGGAGATGCACTTGGAGATGAATGAACTTTTCCAAACAGCGCTTATGGAATTTAATTCCCGCTGTGTGCGCGTGTGCGTTTGGCGGTTAGCCTAATCAATAAAAGAAAACATTTCAAATGAAATAGACTTAGGTGTACGAGTACATACACAGTACATTAGTGTGTATGTATGTATATACATACAAACATATATCTTCGTTTAATTATAGTTTAGTAATACTTTAATTAAGCAGTAAGTTGAAAACTGTTTCTTGTTTAAATTGGTTCTTGTTTTTGTTATCCACTATATGGTATATTTGCTTATTTATTATTATTAAATGCTAAAATAAAACACTAGCTTCAAAAAGTATTCGTCCACGAATATTGCGACAAAATGTACACACACATACTTACACGCAATCTGTATGTGAACAGTGTAGGCGTAAGCAGGGAAATGTACATAAATAAAATAATTATACGTATGTATGTGTGTAGTTTTACCCACCCTTAAACAACTTATAAATACAAGTATATCTGCGCCCCGTCCCTGACTGAATTTTGTGAAACACAGTAAATTGTATTTTATATAAAAATAAACAAATCCCATTTTTAGAATTACAATGAAATAGAAATATGTAAGGCTATGTATATATGTATGTTAAAAACTAAATTTAACAACAAAATTTAAATGTAAAAAGAATTAATATTTTCGTAAAATTACGAATAATTAAGTGATTTCAATAAAATAATTGAATTATATATAAAAATAAAAAATATGTTTTTTTAATTGCTTTGACCGAAATCGATAAGTTTCCATCAAAACTTTGCCGATGATTCTCGACAAACGAATGATGGCTTTGTCGTTTGTGGATTCGTGCCACAAGATGTACTTTCCTAACTGTTCAAGAAATTTAATTTTTGCAGGAATTCACCCTATCTTCTGAAAGCATTTTCGTTAACTAATTAAAATACTGGCAATCTAGGCGCTTTCACGACTTCGATGTCAATAATGCAGGAAACAGTCACCGACATACCGCCCTTCCGTACTTACCGCCCGTATTAAACAAAATTTGCCAAAAGTTATGCCCGTAGTGGCAACATAGAAATCAGTTTTTCTCTTTTGTTTTTATTGTATACACGATTTTTCATTAAAATCCAAAACTAAAATCCAAAACTAAAATCCAACTATTACAAATAGTCTACCTATTTGTAAATATATAATTGTATTCGGCTATGATTTTAAGTTAGTTTAAGAATATTTCAAGTATATTCAAGTTTATTTTTTAATTACTACAAAATATAGAGACTGGCAACGCTGCGTTTATTTTTTATTTACTACAAAATATAGAGACTGGCAACGCTGCGATGGAAGAGAGCAATCAGCTAAATCGTTTCTACGAAAAAAATCCAATTTTCGCGGATATCCTACCGTACGGTCTGTAGAAGCGAACGGCAGAAGCGATGGTGAGTGTTCATTTACATTGCGCTCTCATAAGATAGGTCGCATCTGCTGGTTCGGTCTACGGTTTTGCGTCGGTGACGGTTTTCAGCATAACTGTGCTGCCAACTTAAGAAAATGGGGGTGAGAGTCAAGAAGAGAATATTGGTTGGGTTTTGTGATTGCAGCTTTTCGTTGTCAGACTTTGAGTCCATAAAATAGTCTCAACTGCCTCTTAGTTGTCACATAGATTAATTTGTAGACCTGACCAGTCGAGGTTATTGTCGAGACTATTTTATAGAAAGGATACCCAATAACAGGACGTATTCTGTACATTAACAAGCATTGACGTGGACCAGTTTTAAATCGCCGAAAGTTTAATCGATTTAGAAATAGTCTGTTATCTTTATAGTACGAGGGTGGTTCAATAAGTATTTATAGCCTACAGAAAATAGACGAAACTTTTGAAAAAATTACTAATTATTTCATCGATCAATTGGACCAAGGTGACGGAGCAGGTGTAAACCGATGGGCTATTTTCTTCATCAAATGCGACTCATTATTCTTTAATTTAGCGTCGAACGGCCCAATAATGCGACGCATTATGACTATTTTGCCTTTCTGTGGGGAGTGGATATAGATGGCACCTTTTGAATCCTAGAAAGCGGCGAAGGAAAGGTGATAACCTGGACGATAGGGCAGTCTTCGAACCTTCTTCAGAGGACGTTCGCCGGATGAAGCCCACTGTTTCAACTATTCCTTAGTCTTTGGAGTACCAGGGGATCCATGTTTCGTCGACGGTCATGAAACGACAAAGAAACGCGTTCATATTGCCCTTAAACAGCGTCATACACTATTGTGAAGTGGGCGCGGTTACACTTGTTATCCGTAGGGAGTGAATGTGGCACTCATTGCGCCTACTATTTCGGCTATTTCGCGCCCATTTAATCGGCGGTCTGCCAGCACGAGATCGTGAAATTTCACATTATCCTCCGTGGTGGCCGTCACGTTATCCTCAGATAAGGGAGCAACTCTTCAAAAAACCGACGTGTAACCACGTTAAAATTCGTTAACCAACGAAATTTTGACAGTACTCGTCTATGAAAATTGTCTTGCTCTATCGGGTTGTGAAGTTACATAATTATCGGACCTTCCTCGTTTATGATGGGGGGTTAGGCGCTCCATTGTAACTCAGGTCGAATTTTGTATAAAATTTTTTTCAGTGGATGCTCTTAATATTTTTTTAATATTTCTTATTAAATTTAATATACAAACCGTTGAATCAAAGAAAAAGTTGTTTTAAGTAACTGTAAAAAAGGAAATAACATATACTGACATTGTATTATATTATTCACTGCTGAATCGTGTGTTTAAACATACATATGTACAAGCGTATTACACGACTGCATTAATCAAAATACTCCCACCAGCATACTTATGTACACATACCAGATACTTGTACATATTTATGGAGCAAGCATTTAAAATACACATTTTCGTTTTCATAAATGTGCACTCACTTAAGTACATACATACGTCATATAAATACACATACTATATAGATACATACATTCATAAATATCTCTCATAATCCCTTGGGAGCAGTGCGCCGTAAAACCAAGCACTTACTGTGAGACAAATTTTTTGAGCCGTTACGCATGTTGAGTGTAAAGATGAGTGGCTCCCCTTATCTCCCCAAAATAAAAATTAATAAAATAAGTCGTTGGGCAATCACGCTCAAACCAGTAGGGCACAGCTAACTGCGGGTACAACCGATAATGATAATGATATGGATGAGACTCCAAATGAAATTTGTGAAAAAGTTGAGGTTCGTGAAATACTCTGCAAAACTTTACTAAAATGTAGTAAAAGTTGCTTAGTTATCTTATGTTATGGGGCGCGTTCGACTTCGCTTTCAATAAATGTCTTAACTAATATCCAAAAAAAAAAAAAACTTTAAAAAAGATTTGGAGAAAATATATATCGAAATCTCACATTTTTGGTACGGAATCAGACTATATTACTCTCATGTAATGTTATTATGATTCCTCGCCCCAACCGGAGCAATCTAAAAGTAGAGAATATATACATACATACATATTTATGGTTCGGGCGCACCCATTTAAGAAAGCAGCACTATTATTGTATTTATTAGTTTCATCTACTTGTCAAGTCTCATTAAGCAATCTAAAATTTTTATGGGAATTACCGCTTCAGTAGCTGCACAAACGAATATATAGACGATAGAAGAACTAATAAAGCAATTAACGTACATCAACATTGGTCGTCACTAGAATTTATTTGTGTATAGAACGATCAGTTTTTATGTCATGGTCATGACAGCCATGATCAGATATTTCCACTTCCAACATGTATCGATATGTTTCGATAAATAGTGCCTGTATTTGTATATAAACCTGATTAGTTTAGTCTGCATTAGTCGTCCGAGGCACTGAAAAAACTCATCTCGCACTTACATTAATGGAATTGTGTTTTGGACCCGATCCATTAAACTGCGCACTCAAACCGAATCGATATCTTTTTCCTAGATTTGTACAACTTTTTACATGAACGTAAAGTGTGAAGCTTGATCTTCGTATGTCAATTAGTGTCTGTTTGGCAGCTGTTAGTTTATATCGCGAAAGGTTTGTCTGGCGATTTTTACAAAAACTAAAAAGAAACAGCGAGTTTACTTGAAATTTTGTGTTTCCAATGGAATCACGGCTACGGAATCGTTGAAAATGTTGCAGAAGCTCTTTGCGAAGTCGACTTTATTATGAACACAAATATTTAGGTGGCACAAAGCATTCAAAGCAGTTTGTGAAGTCATCGATAACTTGCTTCATGCGAGTCGTCTATCCACCCCTGTTAATGATGATAACATCGAAAAAGTTAAAGACACAAAATTTAAAAATCATGAAGAGATATCAGAGGGCCTAAACCTTACTTATGGATCGACTTAACACATTTTGATTATTGTTTTGGTTATAAAGCGTATCAATGCTAGATTACCAAAAGACCTGAATCTTTTGCAACACACATCTTAGAGTAGAGGTCACAATAAAGATGCTGGACAAGGTAACTGAGAACCCTACATTCATCAAACGTATCATTACTGGTTACAAGAAGTGAGTATTATGAATATGACGTCGAAACGATCACACAATCCAGCGAATGACGCACCAAAAATGAGCCGAAACCAAAAAAAAAAAAAAATAAAAAAGGCTGAAGGCACAGAAGGCTATTCTAGCCGAGACTTATAACAAGTGTATGGAAAATTAAATTAAACGTTGGCATGATTCTATTGAATCGGGAGCCTGAAGGCGATAATAAAAATTTCTAGTAAGGGGTTACATGGGCTTCACGGCTTCAAAAAACAAAAAACATTTGGTATTGTCTTATTTAATTCTATAAAATTTCTAGAGTATTGTCCTAAATTCTCAAGTTGATACCAGTAATAGTTTTGGAGATACAGCTTTGAAAAGTGGCGTGCTCTAGGTCAGGTATATAGTCACTTAAAAAGTTAACACGCGTTTTTCTCGAAGCTGTGTTTTCAAAGTCAGTTGTCAAGATTTCTCACGAACTACTAAACCGATCTCAATGAAATTTTACACAGGTCTTCAAGATATCCTTTACAAGGTCTTAAATCCAATTACAATTATATTCTTTCAATTACAGTTATTTAAAATAAAAAAAACGTCGATAAATTTTCACCAAAATTTACGTTTTTCTTTAAACGTCTGTCAAAAATACAATATACACTTTATTTGATTTTTCCCCATCCTATACCTAGTTAATGGTCTTAGTTCAAACACGTATTTTTTTCTTTTTACTTTTGATGATCCTGTCAGAAGTTCTGCCGTCAATGCGGAAGCACCTTTTTTCCGAGGGATTGCCGGAAATGACCGAGTTTTGAATATCTTCCATTGAAAATTTCACAAAATCTTTAACAAATATGTGTCTTCAGAAAAAGATAAAGTTTGAATAAAATATTTAATTTTTTGTATGAAAAAATAAGATTGAAAATATGGCGTTTTTTGCTCGACATGTAACCCCTAAAATTACGTGAAAATGTAGTTTTCATGCCAGTCCGAGTCAAATTTGATCATATGAGGAATTTGGGTATAAAATAATAACGATAAAAAAACGTTGGTTTACTATTAATCCAGTTCTTATGGAAATATTCAATAGTCAATCAACAAACATGGCTTTATCCTTCCAAAATAAAGTTACACCAGCTTTACCCGATTTCTGATATAAAATTTCATTAAACTTTTACATATATGTATAATAAATTGAGGTGAGTTTTATTTTGCTGACTCGGATTGCCAATCGG